CAAACTACTGTAATTAACTGCAACGATGCAGCCCTGGAGATCATTTTTCCTGGAAATGTCCTACTGCTCACCATTCTGAGCTACAGAATACCAGGTAATAGTCCTGCTACGGTCTTCTTCAGAAGCCAAAGGTCTAAGCTAAGCCCAGAAGCAGTCTCAGCTAAGGATAATTTTAACCTTCACTTGCAGTTGCCTGATTTTGCCTTTTGAAAATGGAGAGCCCTCCAATTTTAATAAATATATATACTTTTTAATTATTTTACTTGAGTAGCATGGAAAGGCCTCTGTAGTTGCTATATAAATATTAGTAGGTCCGTCTCTCTCATGACATCAACGTGTATGTAGGATAACTTGCTTTTATGCCTGCCACTGCAACATTTGGTACTCACATTCTAGCACAGAAAACAAATCTAAATCAGTGCTCCTCAAGGATAAACTCTAGGCGCTTCTCAAAAAATGCCATCTCTTAGTATTCACCTATTTCTTGACTACAGGAAAATAAAGCAATCCTTCTATAGCAAAGACCTTGGAAATATCACAGCACATCAGAATGTTTTTGACACTGTGGATTCCCATTTTAAGTCTTATGAATCATTTTTGTGCACCTAGCAGTGCTACCATTATGTGACACCCTTGAAAGGATCTTCTGGCCCCCCAGGGAGCCATGGCACCCTTGCTGAGAATCACCAATCTAAATCCGCTGGAAAAAAAATTAAGAAGTTTTGAAAAACTTGATCAGTTACACGTGGCTTTTTTTGGTGAGCGTTCCTTTCAAATAGCAAAAGCACATATCCGGCCTCAAAAATAAGCCTAATAACCCCAGCTAAAGGACAAGCTGTTCTGTCAGTGCAAAAGAAATACCTCAAGCCATGGGCTTTTCTCCTCATCCTTTGATTTATGAAAATGACTAACTACACAAGGACTAACTACATCAGAGATGCATTGCGTCACTTTTCATAAGCGAAGGGCTTCATCACCTGTAGGCCAGAACAACCCAGCTGTGGTTCAACATGGGTCAGGTGGCTTTGGCAGCAGATCAGCAGGCTGGGGAAGGAGAGCAGGCTGCAGATCAGCAGCCTGTGCCCCCTTCGGAGCCATGCAGCTGGGAGTTGTGCCCATGCCACTGCTTCCTCTCAGAGTCCCACTTCCTGATTGTGGTGTGGGCACAGTTTCCACCCAGAAAGGAGCTGCGCTGGGGCTGGGGAGCTGGAAGCTGCTTCCACTTCTCCATGTCCTTCCCTGCCCCCAAACGTTCAGCCTGGCCCTAGTGCAGCTCCCCCCTGCCTGGAAGCAGCGCTTGCAATACAGCCTGGGCCAAGGACCAAGTGGGGACAGGGAGAAGCAGCAGTTTCCAGCTCCCTGGCCCCAGCCCAGGCCCTCGCTGCTCAGCCCCAGCACAGGCACAGCAAAGGCAAACCAGATCTGACCTGTGGAGCCACAAGACTTTGCAAGCCACAGGTTGCCACCCCCTGAAGTAAGCCCTCTGCTTATGAAAGCTTATGTCATACCTCCATGAGCTAAGACTTAGTCTGTGAGGTGCAAACTTTTGCTAGTCTGAAGTCAGGCAGAAGGCAGCATGACTAACTACCTCTCTAAATACACAAGGCCTCTTCCTCACTGGCAGGGGGACGGGGTATTCATCCTCAAAAGGCATTAAGTACAGTCTACTCCTTCTCCCTAGCAGCAGGGCTGTCAGGCTGGCAAGACTGTCCTGCCAATGCTGGCAAGACTTTCCCCAAGCACCACATATAGGTATTAGACAGCTACAAGACATTATCACTTCAGAGGTGAAGTCTGTCAAGACAGGCTGTGATCTCTTTGCCTTTTACTTAACTAAATCATGTCTGTACTCGGTCAGTATGTCCCCTCTGTGACAGAAAAAGCAGGATTTACCAGTGAGGCAGCCAAGTCCAAATGATCAATTTAATCAGATTCCCCCCCACGCCCATGCTTAGCAAGAAATACTCTGTGTTTACCAGTTTTAAGTTCCCTTCCCAAGAAGCTTAGAGATATTAACTAGTCACTGACTTAGCAGGAGAGGCTCATCATAACCATTGGAGCGCAGAAATAATTTAACACTCCCTACTCACTTTAGAACCCATGATTGGATCACCCACACTAAATGAAGTCTATTTTAATAGTTTTACATTTTAAAGCTAAAGCTAGTATTTAGTTAGTATTTGGGTGAAGTGCAACTTTTTGCAAGATTTCCTTTAGCTTCCACAGCATCTAGTTTCTCTCTGTAAAGAAGCTGCAACTTCTCTGGTCCAGATTTTGCTCAGGGATAGAAAACACTCATCCCACTTGCAAGTGATTTAGGGCACAGCTGGACCCTTTATTTTAATTTGCACTTCCACATTTGGAATATGAAACCAATGAAGTTACACTTGGGAGCAATCTGATTCCAGAATTATGAAGCAGCTAAATTGGGCTTTTTTATGGCAAGGAAGCATAACAAAAAGCCTGGCCTAGCACCCAGTTTATTTTGATGTTGGTAACAGCTGAAACAACAGAACATTTCCTTTATTCCTGGTGCTTGGACCTCCCCTCTGTATAAAATCCAACAGCAAGTACCTACAGCTTTTTCTGCTCACGCTAGTCATAATTTTAGAAGAATGTGGGACAATTATAATGTGACAACATTAGGGTACTTTAAGTCAGAGGAAACCTGGTAAGAAGTTTTATTAGTTCTACATGAGGAGCCATTTTAACCAGCCAAAAACAGCTTTAAAGACCAAGTTACCTGCCTCCTCTTCTTTGCCGCTAATGGCCTTTAACATAGCTTAAGCAAAATCATCTCATCCCCACCAGAACAGAAGAGTTTAATGCTCTACTGCCTTTGCAGACAATTACAGCAACATCTAGGAAATAGGCCGTGCCTACGCTTTACTGAAGTAATGACCAATGCAGATGAATACAACCATGTGTAGAGCATAGGCAGGAGTGCAGCTATAAAGCCAAGAGGTAAATCCTTTAACATCCATTCTACTGAGGGTTGCTATGCTCAAGAATTATTATGACAAACATCAACAGATCTGCAGCAGAAAAGCAAGGGACAGATCTTTGCCTTTACACTACGAACTAGTTTTCAGCAGCAGTTCCCCCAGGAAAGGCAGATACAGGACATACCAGAGGGTCCCAGCTAGACAAATAACTGCCCTCATTAGGTAAGATGCTTTCACTATGGCTTTGAGCCAACTCTTCAAGTCCCACATAAAATTCAGGAGTATGAGTTTCCACTTCATAAACTAAGAATTAAGTCATGCAGCCACCTTCTCAACTGTTCGAAAAAATACAAACCAGAAAAATCCTGGCCAGGTGACAGTGGAGAAGAGGAAGGGACAGGGAAAGTCACCTTTAGAAACAAAGGTTTTGCAGGAAGCGTCATATTAACTTATCCCAAGGTTAAGACTGCCTTTTCCTCACACATGCCACACTTAAGTCAGGAACTGGTCTCCAATTCTTTGAGAGGAGAGTTTCACTGAAAGAACAAAGCAAGGAGCTCAGCTCCCAAAGGGGCCACCTGCTCTTGAAAGTAAGATAATTTAAGCCTCTAAGAATTTCTCTACGTAGTCCATTATAAGATCATCTCAAATACTGACCACAAAAAAACCCCCAAAAAACCACAGGCTGGTTAGGGCCACATCACAAGGGGAAAGTCCCAGTTCAAATTTGCTAGCAGTATTATTCTCCCCAAGATACTGGTGTTGAGTGCTGAAAGTGCTTCCAGTGTTGAGTCAGCAGGGACTGTACCCCATGATGTGAAGGAGGGATAAAATGCCTTCACTACTGAACGGGGATTGTGCATCCACTGCTCAGAACAAATGCTTGTTATTACCCAAGGTTTGTGCAGTAGAAAAAAAGAGAATGAAATTTTCAATGGAGTAGTAAAGTTATGAAGTTCTAAGACTACATGAACCCTCAAGCTTTAACCTCTGGCCTTCTACATGCACAACACAAGAAAATAAATGCATTTGATAGGACATTTTGTAAAGAAAAGCCACCGGGAGTTAACCGCCCTTAAATTTTATTACATAACCACACACAAACAATCAAAACTGGAATGTCAACTTTCCCCCTCATAAGCACAATTTACAGTTTTAATTTCACTTTGCATCATAAAATCAACTCACTGACATGCAAGATAATATCTGTCAAGTGAGGCATGGTCTCAGAATTTGGAAGCCATACAGAACAAAATTTTGCTGCAAACTGTTTTAATCATCTTTCAGAAAAGAGATAGTGCTCCCAACTCCTCCATTTGATAATTTCACCTGGTTTCTCTGTCAATACATCACTCAGTGTTTACTGCAAGGTTGCAATAGTACAAGAGCTAGTGACTAATGCAAAAGTCGGAGAGGATTTTCTGAAGCTGGCAAGAGACTAATTACTACCCAAACTTGTGATAAAAAGACTTCCCATTCAACAAAACAGAAGGTATTATAGTTGTTAGCCCTGCTGATGACAGATATCTGCTACATCAGGTAAAAGTACAATCATTTGAAGATTACAGCTTGCAGCTCAGGAAACAGAGTAAGAGGGAAGTAACAGGTTTGGGTATATTACATATAATCTTACACATTTTAATTAGAGGTCAAGAGAAAAAAGATTATGCACAAAGGTAATGATGAAAGATAACAAAAAGAAAGATGAAAGATGCTACAGTTCTGCATAAGTCTTACAAAATGTATAAAGTATCCGTTTCTCTACAATGACCAAAACCTTACAAGTGCAGGTATATATACACATGACATGAAAATATTGCTTCACTCACTCAAATGGGTTAAGGAGAGACCTAGAGAAAAAGCAGCATGCAAAAAAAAAAAAAAAAAAAAAAAAAAATT